AAATTACCATTGGACTGGGAACCCTCTCAAATAGTGCTATTCCAAATTTTATAAAAAATATTCAATATTGATGATTCTGTGGTCAGAATTTCGGTAACCACATGATTTTAATTTATTTTCTCTTAATTGTTGCAATAAACTTGAAAGCGATAACATTTTTGGATAGAGAATGAAAAGACCTTTCAAACGATATACCACAAGCCTATACTATCCATTTAAAAAATGGGGGGTTGTACCTGTCATTTGACGGATGTTGAAGGTAGGGGTGGCATTTTTATGTTGAAGAATGTCAAATTATAATTTACATTTGACGTGTTTCGGATTTTTTTTTAAATATGTACAGTAACAGAAATACCGAGAACTGGTTTTATATCATTTATTTTACTTACATAGTTCCTTGATACTTTAAAATACGATACAACTATGAGTATTTCAATTTGAGTTATTTATTCGAACACATTTTTGTTCAGTAAATTTGACAATAGAGTATTTGAAAAGGGACATATTACACAAGGAAAGCATAACAAAAAATCACTATTAATTACCTAACAGCAAATCTGAAATAGCATCTAGGGGTAGGTTAATCGGGAAGGTTTACTCGGGAAAACTGTATTATCTTATAGAATTAATGAGTATTTCGATGCCCAATTAATCAGTCATTATTAAATTTGAGAAAAATCAACTCGAGAATATCTCTTTCTGAAATTCAATTACCAAAGTTTACACCGTCGTTGTACTTATACGTAGTTCCATCATCGGCCAGCCACGATTCAATTTGAACAAAATCGGTAACAAAACTAGGGACCAAACACTTTAAAATGCCCGTATTTCCTTTCAGGACGAATTCATCGATGACACGGCTCTGGTAGAATTGTTGGACAACTGCGGAAAAAAAGTGGACTGAAAATAGCTGATAGGAAATAAAGAGGATCTAAGGGGTTATACTGGGGTGATGGTATATGCGACAAAGAGATTCTGTGTACCATAATCGTCGGTTCCGGGGAGATATACGTTTCCTTGAGAATCTCTCCAGTTTTCCACGGTAACAAAATCAGAAACGAACGACGGAACTTCGCACTTCATGACAGCAGAGTTTCCACGAATGACGTATTCGTTGTCCGCTTCGATTTCGTATGTTTGTGCAACAACTGCCAAATAAATAAAAGGTCAAATACATTCATGCAGAAATCACGAAATGCCAAGGTTATTAAAAAGACATCAAATTCATTTTAATTATGAACACTCGGCCAACGATACTACGTATATAACAATCATCTGATATCATTGAAAATTTGTTTTACTTTTTGTGAAGTTAATATTTGATTTATTCACAGTCAAATTAACTCAAAAAAAGAGTCAGCAGCGTAAAAATTTAAGGGTTGATTTTTGTTTATTGAGTATCTCGTTTATTTTCAATTTTACAGGAAAAATGGTTATGACAAAACTTGTTTAAAATTGAATTCCCCACAATTCTGGTCCATATCATCTCAATTTTATGAGAAAAATTATAAAAAACAAACTCGTTAAGAAACAAATATTCTACAAATATGGTTTTCATCAACTTTTTCCTAGGATCGATATTTTTCGATTTATACCCGAGAAAAGGAGGGGATGAAATCTTATCATTGTATTATCACGTTTATTTTCAATTTTATAAAAAAAATATTAATCATTGAAAATCCTGTGGCAAAATATAAACATATTTCAAATGTTTCTACAAAAACAAGATTTCACTTTTTGTGTATACCTCCGAAGTTCAAAGAGTTGAAAAACGACTTTTTGGTATCATTCACCAGTACTCTCAAAGAGACAATTTCACCAGAATTTAACCTTTTCTTTGCCTTTCATCAATTACTAGATTTCTACTTTCTCATCTAACGATTGATTGGCAAATATTCTTCGAAAATAATGTTTTAGTTCAGCTGATAATGATTGTTTCATCAAAGGTGGTGATTCAGAATTTGATTGACAATGTCACTTTGTGTGAAATGGAATTTTTGATAGCCTTTTTAGTAATTCATTCATTTTAAATCCTGATCACAGATCAATTATTCTCGCCAGACTTCTACCGGTGTCACTTCTTACTCAGTAAACAGCGCGGAGTAGGGATGAGAACAAAGCTGGTCTTATGTCTCTTCTCTCACTCCCTACACAGTTTTCGGTCATTATCATTGTTTATCCATCGAGCGTAGATATAGTTCGCGATGCCATCAAAGCTGTGAATTATCCAACACAGTTTTTGAACTCATTGGATTTGCCAGGCACCACGGCTGTGCAACTGCACGCGATTATTCATTAAAAAATTCTGATAGAATTGATTTATATGACAAAACAATGTTTGTCTTTCAACTTAAAATGCTGTTCAAATGGTACAATCGATGGCGACGTCTCATTCATGATGGTGACTTATAGAAAGTATAACAAATATAATAAAACGGAAATACACCTGTTAAAAGAGTAGGACACGAGAGATAGAAGCGAAATAGAGTTAAATTGAATAATAAATAGTTCATGAAATACTTTTTACAAGAGCTTAATCTATTTACAAGTAATCGATATTCTACTGAACAGAATCAATCAAACAGAAAATCAAATTTAACAAGATTGTGCACGTGAACGTGTTTGATGGAGATAAGTTGGAGAAACCCTCCAAGTTTCACCTTCCAGATTATAGGGATTAAATGCGATAGCGGTTGAGTTCGGTAACACGAAATTAAATACAGTGCGGCATATGATAATGCTAACACTACTGTACATGCGACTAACCAATTTGAAACATGTGATCAACAAAAGTATGTTGTTGAAAATATACATTCGTTCATGGAGTTTATCCAGATTCCAGAAACCAACAAAAACACAAAGTAATTCTGTTGTTGATTTTGTCGCGCCTTAGTATGTCCGATGAGTCAATAGACTTTTGTATTGCGATTCGTACAGCATCGTTACCACTAGCCTCTTTTGAAGCAAACCAGTTATCCACAATTTTGACTGGACACTGTTTGCTCTCCAAGGGCCAGATCGTTAGTCACCAGTGAAAGATAATGATTTATAATTCAATTTGTTCAACTTCTTTGTTTCATGTTCATTCTGGAAACCCCAACTATGATCAAAATGTTGCAATATTTCTGGAATTAGGGTCAGGAAGGAGAAAATATCACACCTGCAATAATTTTAGTGATCAATATTATCTTGGAAGATCAACAGGGTTAAACAAGTATTGGTTCGTCAAGCAACAATAATCAGTTTTTCTCTTCTCTCTCTTTCATACTGAAGAATGTTGATCATCTAAGACAATTATAAAATAGTAAAGGTTGCAGTAGGTAACTTCTGAAGTACCGTAATCGCTGTTATCGTTGTACTTATGAACTTGGCCTTCGCTCGAAATCCACGAATCGATTTGGACGAAATCGGCTACGAAACTAGGTATCTTGCATTTCATGACGGCCGAATTTCCGCGGATGACGTATTCATTTTCGGCCTCGGTCACATAGTACTGCGACACAACTAGAAAGAACAAATAACCCACTTTAAAATTACCATAATTGTCGGACACTTTCAATACTGAAGCGTTTTCAAAAACATTCAATTTTACGATACAGATTTGTTTACATATCGAAAATGAAATGTATAAATCCAATATTCATAAAATAGAAAATGATGACGATAAAGAAACGTATCCATATTTTCCAATCCCACGCACCGTAACACCGTAAATATTCGGCTCGTTATGACACGTAACGTAACACCATACATGTTCGGTTCGTTGTTACACGTAACGTAACATCACACATGTTCGGCTCGTTATGATACGTAACGTAACATCGTACATTTTCAGCTAGTTTTGACCGTTCGAAACAAGTTGATACATGAAGCGTTTTCAAAAACACATTCAATTTTACAATACAGATTTGTTTACATATCGAAAATGAAATGTATAAATCCAATATTCATAAAATAGAAAATGAACACGATAAAGAAACGTATCCATATTATCCAATCCCACTTACAGTAAATGTTCTGCTCGTTATTACACATAACGTAACACCATACATGTTCGGCTCGTTATGATACGTAACGTAAAACCATACATGTTCGGCTCGTTATTATACGTAACGTACATCGTATATTTTCTGCTCGTTTTGACCGTTCGAAACAAGTTGATACATGAAGCGTTTTCAAAAACGCATTCAATATTACGTCACAGATTTGTTTACATATCGAAAATGAATTGAATAAATCCAATACTCATAAAATAGAAAATAAACACGATAAAGAAACGTATCCATATTATCCAATCCCACGCAACGTAACACCATACATGTTCGGAACGTTATGATACGTAACGCAACACCGTACATGTTCAGCTCGGTTTGACAAGTAACGTAAAACCGTATATGTTCGGCTTGTTATGACACGTAACGTAACACAGAACATCTTCAGCTTGTTATGACACGAAACGTGATACCGAACGTGTTCGGCTCGTTATGAGACGTAACGTAACAACACCATATATGTTTGGCTCGTTATAACACGTAACACAGTACATGTTCTGCTCGTTTTGAGATGCGAGAGTTCGCTTCCGTTAGCGTTTGGAGTTTTGGTCGTATCAGTTATTCCGTAACATAACCTACCGAGGTAATTCGACATCTACAATTGCATTCCTATGAGTCAATTACCCATAACGTTACACCGTCCTTATGCGGATCGTTACGAGATGGCACAGCTCCCTTCCGGAAGCATTTTAAGTTGTGATCTAATCAGTCATTCGAACCGAGCGAGCTATGAAACAACAGCGCCTTCGGCAGGAAAAGAATCCAGTAAGTAATGCGACGGCTAAAAATCAACAAATGGTGGTAACAAAAGTACTGTTACATGTGAAAGTGGTACGGGTACAAATGCAACAGCACTTTGTCTCCACTAGCTGTAACGTAACGTTTTCATGGTTACGTTTTCATTTGGTACAAATGGATACGCGCCCTACGGGTGTACGTGTAAAAGTGGCAAGGATATAATGTAACAGTAATCTGTTTGCCGTAGCCGCAATGTATTCGCGGTTACGTTACCATTTGTTACAAATGGATACGCGCCTTACGGGTACGAGTGTAGTGTTACGGATAAAATGCAACAGTAATTTGTATCCCGTAGCCGTAACGTTTGGCGGTTACATTACCATTTGTTACAAATGGATACGCGCCTTACGAGTACGAGTGTAGTGGTATGGATAAAAAGCAACAGTAATTTGTATCCCGTATCCGTCACGTTTGGCGGTTACGTTACCATTTGTTACAAATGGATACGCGCCTTACGGGTACGAGTGTAGTGATACGGATAAAATGCAACAGTAACTTGTATCTCGTAGCCGTAACGTTTAGCGGTTGCGTTACAATTTGTTACAAATGGATACGCGCCTTATGGATACGAGTGTAAAAGCGGTACGGATGAAATACAACAGTAATCCGTATTCCGTAGCCGTAATTTGTTCGCGGTTACGTTACCGTTTGTTATAAATGGGTACCAGTGTAGTGATACGGATAAAATGAAATAGTAATTTTATTCCGTAGCTGTAACGTTTGGCGGTTACTTACGTTACTATTTGCTACAAATGAATACGCGCCTTATGGGTACGTGTGTAAAATTAGTACGAGTGAAATGTAACAGTAATCCGTATCCCGTAGTCGTGAATTTTTCGCGGTTACGTAACGTTACGTAACCGCGAAAACTCTTTGCCTTAGAGAATCACACATTAAAGAACAACTGACAACTTTCAATCTTATTTCAATCATGAATAACTTATACCCAACAATTCAACTTTTTATCGATAAATTATGGATTTACCAAGTGCAACTCAGTCATTGATCTGATTGATTTAATCGGTATTGGATAAAAATTACTTTAAGAAAAACTCAAGATCTTTTTCACGGTAACAAGCAGAAACAACCAAAACACTAAAATATAAAAAAGCCAGACTCGTTTCACTATAGCGAAATAAACTTCCATAATTTTCCTACTGCACTTCAAATATTCAACAACGTCTATCGTTGATAGGTAATTATTGTCATTGAATCCGATGCCGGCAGACAAAACAAATCGATGAAATTTATAGGCTTGATTAACGCTGTAGTTGAAGAAACTATATGAATCTCGTTACACAGTTCACTACAACAAGCAGTGTCCATTGGCCCGCCGAACAATAAGCAGTGGCGCAGCTATCGGTGAGCTAGCTACATTAAGTAAACTGTTAATAATTATTATAATAAATAAAACATGTTCATGGAGCTTCGAACCTGAAAAACAAATTTATGTCAACATGGATAGATAGACCTTGTGTTACTTTTCTCTGTCAAAACTTACACATCTTCTAACTTCTAAAATCGAAGCAGACATTTTCATCATCAGTTTTAGAGGTACTTATTCGAAGCTTACTGAAATATAATCTTTAATATTACTGTTTATGTGACCCTTATTAAGTAGTGAGTTCATAAATGATTTCCGTTATCTGACAGTCCGATCATGTCTGAGTACATCAAATTCAGAACAAAACAAATTTAGGCGAAAAACTATTTTAGAATTATTATGTTACAAATCGGGCGAGTGAAAAAGTACGACCCTGTCCATGAATGGAAGAATTGATCACATGTTTATGTGTCATGTTTGTAAAGTACCTACAAGTTTAAATATAAAAGCATGTTCTAACAATCAATGGATAGTAGTTGGTTATAAACATTTGGGCTCATTAATGAAACTGAGTTCTAGAATATTTTTCTTGTAACCGCTGGAATACAAAAAACGTTACGTGAGAGTTTGATACAAAAATAATTTATGAGTAGGCAACCATCCTAACGAGTTCAACATATCCCTCCCTTATTGGTGTGAGTTTGGGAACAAGATAAAATTAATTTCATTGCACGATTGTGCAAATTTTGAAGTCTATAACTCTCATTTTGGTTTAGCAAATATAAAATTGTAGAGCAATAAATGAAATAAGGTGATACGGTAGTGTTATAAATTATAGTTTTTGGGCATTTTGTTGAATAACTCGACTATCTGTGACGGGTGTCAATTTTCGTTGAAATTTCTTTGATAATATAATTTGTACGATTTTTGAAATTCAATGTTTGGTCTAGTTACTTGAATCTGTCAAGTACATCAATTGCCTCATTAGTAATTTTTATCTGATGCTGGCCTTTCATAAACCTTTTATACTACCTTTCATATTCCATTAACATAAATTGAGTTTTTTTTTATTTTCCGTGAATTTTTACAACACTATCTATGTAGGTATTATTTTCAATGCCTCATTGATAATCTCGACAACATATAAGGATTAGTATCAGCTTTGAGCAGACAACTACATCGAAGAGTTACAGACATTGTGTGTGGCCTCAGGAGCAAAAAAACTTAGAGAATTTGATTAATTAATTCTAAAACATGTTAAGTATTTTGAGTTGGATTGTTAGATGTAACGATATCATTTATCTCAATATGAATGTATAATTTTAATATGTATTTACTTCATTATATATTTTCATTTATATATTACACAGCCCACCAAAAAAAAATGTTTGTCTTGCTGCCGAAAAAAAAATCAACTGATTTTGGTTAATTCATCTGTGCTGATTCCAAAAATACAAACCTTTTCTTTGTAGCAGCTCTAGTAGATGTAGATATAACATACTCATCGAATACTCAAATATTCTTACATTTCTGTATATTCATTCCACCACTATAATTGCAATATGTTTATAAACAAACTTAGCAAATTCTAAGACAAATGCATACTAATGACTTCTAATTAAAGTGTTACCATTAGAAATGGCCATAACATGAAATTACCGCTAATTGCTTCTTACCTATTGTCCGATAAATTAATAGTATTTTCTCAGAAATGGCCTAAGTAAATTCCTATTAAGTCGACTGCATTCCATTGTAAAATTTAGTCTGAATTTGTGTTTCGTTGCAAGAGTTTCTTTGTGTCAACTGAAATCCATGTCTTCTACAAGCAGGTTGTTGTGTGAATAACCCAAACGTTTTTTGCTACATATGTGGCGAGTACATTGTAAAGGAAAGTAGAAAACCAGTTTGTGATTTCATAAAAAGGGCATATCAAGCCTATTTTGGTGTTCATTTAGGAGATCAAAATAAATCCAGGCCTCCATATGTAGTGTGCAAAACTTGTCTTGAAAACTTGCGACAGTGGACGAAAAGACAACGAAAATGTTTAAAGTTTGGTGTTCCAATGGTATGGAGGGAACCAAAAATCATTGCTAATTCTGTCTTCTGAATATAAAGGGCATTAATCGTAACAATCGACATACGTGGACATATCCTAACCTGGATTCAGCAATAAGACCAATTCCATATCAGCTTGAGCAGATACCCATTTTAATATTCAGCAGCCAACCTACGCTACCAGAGGATAATGTCGAAACATTATCTGACGAACTACAGACTAATAGAGTTGAGGAAGACGACAGTGATTTTGAAGAAGATTCAACACATCTTGA